TGTAGACAATTTCTTATCATTTCACACCACTGGTCTAATTGATTTCAATCGATATAAAGTAGTTTCCGTGTCCTTCATTCACGAACGGACGGATATAAGTGCTCTAATTACAGAACAATTGCTCTAATATCTCATGTTAGCAAAATATTTTTCAAAATACAGTAGAACCCTTCTAATCCGTCACCTTTGGGACTGGAGTATGGTCGGAACGCAAAAAAGGTTGGGTTATCAGAAAAAAGTAAAATAAACAATCTTCCCCCTTGTCCAGTCTTTGTAGCACTGCTAATTTTTCATTTAATGAAAGAGTAACGTATTTATGTTTCACTCCTGACATGTTGAAAACACACACAAAACTGTACATGTACACACAATGTAAAACATATACTGTAACGAACACAGAAAAATGCCACGGATGGTGAGTCACCGATGAGTTGGGACAAGTTTCTCGACTCCGACCACGGTCAGATTAACCGGAGTGACGGACTAGCCGAGGGCAGACTAGAGGGGTTCTACTGTAATAGAAAAAAGATTAGAAGCCTTTATGGAAAGAGAAGTGACACTTGAACAATTTAGAAGAAGCAAAGATACCTGCAGAGAACATTAAAAAATATATTTATTTCTGTTTCATTGACTATAGCAGAGCATTTGATTTAGTTGATTACACAAAACTTTGGATATATCTTAGGACAATGAGTATTCCTAAGTGCATCATTGTTTTACTAAGAAATCTCTATACCGGTCAAGCTATGATAAAAACAAAGCAATAATACAAAATGGTTTAAAATTGAAAAAGGTGTTAGAAAGGCTGCATTCTTTCATCATATCTTTTCAATTTGTATTCATAATATATACTTTGTAATGCATGTCTGGAAGATATGAATATAGGAATCAAACTTGGTGGAATGAAGGTCTACAATTTAATGTATGTTGATGATATAACTTTGGTGATAGAGAACATAAAAGACTTAAAAGCTCTTATTCCAAGAGTAAAAAAAGAAAGAGTGAAAAGGCTGGATTATTTTTAAGTCTAAAGAAAACTAAGATCACTGGTACAGAAAAAAATGTGATTCAAATTAATGATGAAACAATAGAAGTTGTGGATAACTATTTATATGGAGCACATGTTGACAAAGAAGACATCTGTTCTAAGAAAATTCAAAAAATAATAATATTAGGATGAAAGGCAATGAATAGCCTATCTACAGTTATAAAACATAGAAATATTTCTTTGAGAACAAAGTTCAAACTTGCAAATTCTCTTGTATTCCCTTATAATATATCTGTATGGCTGTGAAACATGGACATTATGTAAGAATGAAAGAAAGAAAATTGATTCCTAAGTTTTGGTATTAGAGAAAACTGTTGAGAGTCTTTTGGATAGCCAAGAGAACCAACCATTCAATCTTATTAGACCTAAACATTCACTTAAATCAAAATCATGAGGCTAAAACTTTTGTATTTTGTCAACATTACATGTTCTAATTCAGTGAAAAAGATGCTTATGCTTGTCAAGGTAGAAGATGAAAAAAGATGAAGTCATTAATGCACTAAATGGATGGATGGTGTTTTAGAAGCTAAAGACAATAGTCTTGAAGATCTTAAAGAACTTAATCTACTCAGATCCCATCAGAAGTCACTTTTCCATAGAGTTGCCAGGAGTCAAATATAACTCAATGGTACCTAACATACAGTATTCATTATTCAAATAAAACTGGTATATATTATAACTTTTCTCCTCTGTTCAAATTATATTATTTATATTTATCACTAGTAGTAGCCAACTAATCATAGTAACAAATTAATAATTTTTTCAGCAACATTATGTTTTTTTTAATAATGGCAAAATTTGCTTAGAAATTAAAATATTCTAAAAATTCATAAATTTTAATTATAATAAAATTCTTAAGCATTACAAATGTTTAATTTACCATATTTTTTGATGAACAATTAATTATATTTCCTTGTGATGTAACTTCTTGCCTAATAAACTGTACTTTTTCTAACTGAGCCAGAAGTTCGCGTTTTCTTTGTTGAAGTGCTATTAAACTTTTTGATGATAAATTCTAAAATAAAACAAAACTTATTGAAATGCAAACCACAAAAAAATTTTAAACTCATCAATAAATAACATTTTTGTAATAATTTTTGAAAAAATATTCAAATGCAGAACTCATTAATAAAAATTAATAAAGAGAATATTTGAAAATAAGACTAAAAAATTTAAGATAAACTAAGCCTAAACAATAATGAACAATTTATCACTATATTTATTTATTTCAATTAAATGTGAAAAATTTGATTTTTTCAGATAGAAATGATTTGTCATAACTGTAAAAAATAAATATATATATGGCATAATTATTTTATTAAACTATGATAATTTAGTCCATTGATATATTGAGTCTAAAAATAAACTCTCAAAAAATCAAAATTTTCTACTAAAATACAAAATATTGATTTTATCAAAACAGATCATGGCAAAGATCACTGTATTTTGAAGTATAGACATAAGAAAATTGTACTGAAAACTTTAAATTTTGCCAATCAATTCTTATACATCAATTTATGAATTACTATTGAACTTCTGAGGGAAAATCCCAGTTTGTTAGAGTTCCTAATTACTTATTTTTGTTCAGTTACATTTAGTTTAAGGCAACTATTAGTACTTCACACTCCTGACCATGAAACAAAAGTAACTTTAACATAAGCTGAAAACATATCATAAATATAATAAATTTCATTGTTGAATCATCATTACAGAATTGTTAGAACTAGAGTTACTGCCAGCAGGAAACACAATATTGATCCACAAGAGTATGTAAATGAGATAGATAGTACTTATAATGTCATTATTCTCCAGATGTTTCACCACCTGAAGAATAAGCAAAATGAGGGAGAACTTCTCATCCTAAATTCCTGAATTTTTGTTGAGTGATTTTTTTGTATGGGGTTTTACATTGTCATATTGAAAGATGATTCCTTTTTCTATTTTCTATTTCTAAACTCTGGATACCTTGATTGGTGTGACTTTATTTAACTTTTTCAACTGTTGCCAATAAAGATCTGCAGTAATCATTTGGCCAGGGTTTAACAGCTCAAAGTGCACCAAATCAGGGATACTCCATCACGTCAAGAAGCACCTTTTTTCTTGTGTATATTCAGTTTTAGAATTCCTTTTGATGGTTCTCTGACAGATAACCACTGCTTTTTTTTATGTGGATTATCATATATCACTCATTTTTCATCTACTGTGATGATACTTTCAAGAAAAGGTTCATTTGTATGTCTCAATAGCAATGAACTGCAGACATAAATTTGTTAAAACTTTTGTTCATCAATTAATAAGTGTGGAACCTATTTCCCTACTTTGTAGACCTTCCAATTGCTTTTAAATGTACTTATGTTGTTGACCAAGAAGCACCAATTTTGCTAGCAATCTCTTCAATCAATTGTCCAGGGTTTTCTTCAACAATGACTTTTAAAACATCATGATCAACAATACTTGGTCTACCAGATCTGGGCATAACTTTCAGACTAAAATCACCCTCACAAAATCTGGCAAACCACATCTGGCAGGTTCTTACTTGTATGGCTCCTTGATACACACTGTTGATATTTCTTGCTGCTTCTGTGGTCTTTAATCCACAATGAAATTCAAATAGCATAGTGAAGTATGTGTTCTTCATTTGATTCAAACATTAAATTGAAACTTAATAAAAAACATTTTTCAAAATATGTTTTAATGCAAAAATCATTTATCTCAGCTTCTGCAACATTATTGGATCATCTTGTCTATTTGTGTTCTTATAAAATTATATTTTTAAGCATAACATCAAATCAAAATAATAAGATACATTATAAAATATATCTATCACCTTTACATCTATTATAATAATTTATTAAATGAAAACAACAATGCTGCAAAAATTTTCATTATTCAAGAATTTAAAAATAAAATTATTCAATATTGATGTATTTCTGTTTACAAGTTAAATTACTAACCTGTATAGAATTTAGTTGTGGTCCACATATTTTCACTGCTGATGAAGGATTCTCTTCTATACTTGATACAAGGCCTACAGTAGAGATTGATAGTGATACTGTATCTTGAATTGTACATGGCTTGGAAATATGGCCTACATTGAGGCTAAGTTTTGTTGTAGGAAGAGCTGCAATAGCAGCAGGAATTATTCCCAATATTTGAGTATTAGCAGTAAGGGGAGGATAAGAATCTGAGTTTAAAATAGTACCACCAAAAGTATCTGCAGCAACATGATAAGTACCTGAAGGAGGAATTAGTTGAGCAGGCCCAATAGGTTGAAATGCTGGTGTTTCAGGATTAAGAGCATGTGATGTATTTTGAATATCTAAAAAATATAAAATTTCATAAATTTAATAAAACTTATATTAGATTCCACAAAAAAGCCATTAAAAATATTTATTATTACATATGTTAAAACAAAACAATTTTTAGAAAATTTTCAAAAATTCTCAAATAGACAATACTTTAAAACATATCTTCTCATTTTATCCCTTTCACACACATCAAGAAATAACAACCATAATGGCCATTTTATCAAATATATATATATATTTTTTTTTAATTGATTGTGCCATCATCAAAGTAAAGATTTTAACATTTTATATATCGAGGCAGATGAGAAGCCTCTAAAGAGAGGAATGAAGTGAAAAGGACATTTTTTAAAATATTGTCAAAACTTCTCAAAAATTTACAAAACTTTTGAGAAGTTTTGTAAATTTTCTAAGTTTATACTTATTGTCCTGGTCATTTTATCAAATATAGAACTATGTAAAAAATAATAAACATTTTTGAACTATAGTAAAACTTCTCTAACTTAAAGCACCAAGAGGCAGGAAAAACTTTGAGTTACAGAAAATTTGAGTTGGAAACAATAGAATGAAAAATGGCAATTCTGAATCAGAATAGATTTCTATTTTTACCTCTCTTGCATTATATAAGGAATCTTTGATAGTTTTTTGTTTTAAACAGCCCATGTAATGGCTTTCAACAAAATGTTCAATATAACTGTTGGAGAATAACAGTTTTGCAGGTAGTTCTGAGATAAAGCAAAAAGTCCTCTCGCTTTAGACTGGAATGTTGTCTGCAAATGGGTGTTGGAGAATAGATACAACTAACTGTCTGAAATTTTTTGACTAACTATTGTAGCACGTCTTGTACAAATAAAATGTTTGTTGCTTGAAGTGCCATAAGTACTATAGTGCCATTCTTCTTCTTCTTTTGTCCCTAGCTGGCATTTGGTTGCGGGCATCTGCGCAACCAGTATGCTGCTGTGGGTGCCGCAGGAAGTCGAGCTTTCTCCACAATGCCCCTCCAATGCCCTCGATCCATGGCCGCCGCTTTTGCCTGGTTCAGATCAAACCGTTGGTTCTTGAGGTTGTCCTCAACGTGTTTGGTCCACGTTTTCTTAGGTGTAGAGTGTTGGATTTTCCACAGAGTAGGTAACTGTCGGAAGAGCAGTTGGTGGGGAATTCGATTAATATCCATTCGGCACACATGGCCAAACCATCTCAGCCGTCGCTGTTGAAATTTATTTTAAGTACTATAGTGCCATAAGTACTAAACTGTTTTTTATGGAAATGCTTTCCATATATCCTGAAATGTCATACTAGATTTGGTTGCATTTGGACTACTAAATATCTCTCCAGACAGTGCAGAATAGGAGTACTTGAATAATAATCACCCAGTATATTGAAAAGTGTTCTAACCAGAATTTTATACAGAAGATACAAAAATATATTTTAAATCAAAATATATAATTTTTCTTATTAAAATACAAAATTACTATATTTTAACATATTCAGTTGTAAAATGAATCATCGTTTTAATGTATAGACCTAATAATATTTATACAAAGAAAATGTACTATAAATGATAATTGACAATTCAAATCAATTAATCAAAATTTTTGCTAAAGCAATTTTTTTAATAACATTCCTTTATATAACCGTATTTAACCTTTCATTTTTTCAATAAATAGTTATATATTTATAACATTCATGTCTAGCTTATTGTTGTTCAATACATTTCATAATATTAAAAGAAAGTGCTATAAACTTTTCCTCTCATATTAACTGGAAGATTGACTTTAAAATATTGTCTACAATAGTGATTCTCAAACTTTTTCGATCCACCGCCCCCTTTGTTCCATAAAGTTATACCCAACGCCCCCTAACCCATTTTCTCTTGTGTGAGAAAAGGATTGGAAATATTCTTAGGAAAACTTTTCTATGAATCTCACACTTTGTGCCCTTACTGTACATTGTTCTCATCATCTGGAAACCATTAAACGCAATGTTTCCTCTTATCAGCCCCAATTTTGCCTTTGGTCACCGTTCAATACCCTGCCTCTATCATAGATCTATTCATCGCGCCAGAAGGGGGCGTTATTGCTTACTTTGAGAAACGCTGAGCTAAAATAAAAGTCAATGTGTTAGAAATATTCAAGTTGTGATCTTCAATAAAAAATAAAAAATATATAAAATGTAAACATTTTATATATATTCCGTCGAATTTTTATATATAGAATTTGTCTGCCGTCGCCCCTCTATATTTCCTTAACGCCCCCCAATTCTCTATGAGCCTTCTACTGCCCCCCTGACAGCCTCCAGCGCCCACAAGGGGGCGTTATCGCCCACTTTGAGAAACGCTGGTCTACAATAACATGATCTTACAATTTATGTGGCAATTTTTTTTAAATTTCCATCTATCACATTACGTTCAAATTTTATTATATTGTAATTTATTTTACATTTTTTTGTGTGTTTTTGTTAATGTGATGAAATAATTGAGGAAGAAAGTATATCATCATTATAAAAACAAATATACTTTTGATAAAATTAAAATAATACATTTTACTACAGAAATGAGAAAATTTTAACAAAAAAATGCAATGCATATAAGACATTCTGAATCCATTAATAGCAAAAAATTAAAAATTCAATGGTAACTGGCTAATGATAATAAAATTATTAAAATTTAATATTTTGTTTTAATTTTAATGATATGGAATAATTTTAATATTTTGTATTTTCAATGTAATCAAGAATATATTTTTAATAATATTAATAATTTATTTTATTCTAAAATAAGACAGTTTAAAACTTACTATCTTTCAGGAAACGTCCTTCAAATGCTAAGATACTATTTGAATCATCTACACCATAAATAGAATCTGTTGAAACCAAACTAAAATTTAAAAATTTTAAATCAGTTAGATTAAGTAATTGTATTCCTGCAATTAAAAATTTCAAGAAAAAATAATTTAAATTTTACTGAAATATTTAAAGAACTTCAAAATCAATATCAGTATAATGTTAAATTAGTATAACATTAAAAATGATTTAATTTTCTTAAATCAATACCAAATTTAATTAATAAATATTGTTGAAATTACCAGTTTAAATATGAACAAGCACAAATGATACCATGTATAAATCATTGAAAAGAAACACTTGAAACTGGCAAAGGAGTCATAGAAATTTTAATTAAATGAAATTTTTACATTGCCATCATCAGATCTACATTCGACACTTTTGTTCTGATAATGATGAGATAGAATGTAGTAATCTGATAATGAGAATGTAAAAACCCAAAAGCTTGGTAATCTGATTAAATTCCATGACTTCTTCACCAGTTTTGAGTTTTTCTCTTCAAATATTACCAATTTATTTTAAATTTGATTTTAGGCAGATAAATTACTTAATGATTGAGATAATTAGCACTATAGATAAGCAATGTCAATATCTGTTAATTTAATAATAAGATAAATTTATAATTTTAATTAATTTATTTATCTGAAAAAGAACAGCTTAGAATGGGCCACTTTATAAATTCTGAATAATAAACATAATATATGTTGTCATTAATACCATCTTAAATATACTAAATAGATTTCTTTTAAGCAATATAAATTTAAAAATTCACATATAACTAGTGATTACTCATTGTCATGTTATTTGAGTAATTCGTTTAGCTCAAAATATATATCCAAAATATCCAGTCAGTTGCAACTTACATATCCTGAAAAGGAGCATATACAAATATAAAATTAATTAATAATCAAAGACTTTAAGATAATGTTAATATATTACTGAAATTACTGATTATATTTTTGATTTATTTTCAAAGTGGCTAATAAATTATTTAATGACTTAAATAACCTGAAAAAATTAATGTTGCAATATTTAAATACTTTAGAATATGAACATTTTTTGATTCATAAATATGCAAGATCCTTATACATATTGTTTAATCTAAGTATCTTTATTCTATGTAATAACCATTTAAAAAGAGATAATGTTTAATGTCACCTGTATCCTGCTAAAAACTGTTTAGGCAATTACTTTCTATTTCATCCATATAATATGGTGTCTAGTATTTTATTGAGAACTACCTTTATTTTAAAAATATACTTAACTTCCAAGCAATAATGTCATTGTATTCAATAAACATAGAATTATGACTTTTTTGTGAATAAAGTCAAGATCATAAACTTGCTATAAGACTGCCTAAGATAACATCAGTAAATTATAATCTCTGTTTATAAGTTTTAGCATAGAAAATCCCAAAAGACAATTTCAGATTTTCCTGCAAGTTGTCATTTTAATAAAATCATTATATCTGATTATTAAATAATCAGTTGTTTGAATTTATTTCAGTAATTTTTTGGTACACATTATCATTGTTTTTAAATAGTTTAAACAGATAACAGGTCATTTTTGTTATTAGTTTTTTTCATTCTAGAAATTAACAATTTTGAGATTTTAATAAATTCAGTTGTTAAACCTATTATAATATTGAATAATTTATTTGGATGTAAATTTAAGAACTTGCCATGTTTACAAAATATAATTCTATTTACTGAATATAAAGCTGTTTTCTTTTAATGCTTTTTCTAAAATATAAAAAAGATAGTATTCCTATTCATCTGTTGTTTGCAGCTTTATTACAGTAAAAATTAAGATCATGACTAGTTAAAAAACTCCAAAAAATTATTATTTTGTATTAATATCATATTAATTATATTTTAAAAAATACATGTTTTAACCAAAATTAGCTTTTAAAATGAAACTATTCTGAAAACATAATTTTAATAGTAAATTATTTTCCTCTTACTTCACAGAAATATTTGTAGATGGTGATCTTAGCCCATTAGGTGATGAAATAATTCCAGATTCTTTCCCCTGAACAGAAGAACTAGAAGTTCTAATAGGAGTAGAACCTCTATGATTTAAATTTCGTTTATTTTTTGCTCTATATCTGGAAAAATATCAAATAAATTTCTTTAAGTAAATAAAATTTCCTGAAATTCTAAGCTTCCTAAATAAATTTATATTTTATATACTTTTCCATTTCTTCCTGAGAATGTGCAAAAGTGCAATTAGCTCCACGAGGACAACTTCCACGTTGAGTAAGATCTCTACACATACTTGTTTTATATTTTGCATTAAGATTTTGTCTATCTTCTTGTAACTTTCGGCTACCAAAGTTCTGAATAAATTCTACCAAACCTTTAACAACAATTCTTGCAGCTTCAAGTGCACTTTTTAAATCTTCCCAAGAAGGTACAACAGCATCTACATTAGAAATTGATTACATATTTAGTTTTTGTTAAATTAACTACATATTTTTATTTCATTTTACAAAATATATTAAACAGTCACCTGGACTAGGATCAATTCCAGCAAGAAGTTCTAAATGAGAACGTAAAACAGAGAGATTCCCAGGATCACCTGTTCGTTGCAAAGCTATAACTAATTCTTGAACACTTTGAGAAAATGACTGTGGTGTTTGTAGCTAAAAATACATATTAAAAAGTTTTTATATTTACAAAATTTAAACATTAGTATATATAAAACATTTTAATATTTATATTAACCTTATCAATAATTGACTGCATATGTGATTTGTGTGCAGTATCACCATACAATAAAGATGACCATTGTTCCGGAGCAATTCTTAGACCAGCTTCAGTTGCTATCTGCACAATTTGTGCATCATGTTCTCGTCTTAATGCTTCATATGTACGAAATTCTTCTTTTAATTGCATTAGAGAAGAATCTCCTTCTCGTTTTGAAACCTATTAAATAAATTGTTTTAAAATTCTAACAAATTTTTAATATCAATAAATTATTATTATATAATATAAAAATAGAACAGAAACTAAATTGTCTTCATTCTTCTATTATGTCCAATCACCAGGAATAAAAGTTTTCCTTCACAAAGGTGACTTTTTATTTGAGGCTACATCTCTGCAAAATTCTGTAAAACAGTTAAACTTAGCTTCTATATTTTTATATTGTGAAATGTACCGTACCATCTGCCTTTTTATTTTGAATTATTATTATTATATTGCAAATGTTCTGCTCAGCTAATGATGGTGCCAAGTGCTACGCTGGACTAAACTCAAAGTATAACTACCCAAACAAGTGTAACATTAAGCTTCAGTTTATTGGTGTATGAATCTGCCTAGAAACTTCCTAACAATGTGACATGTATTCAATATTGCAGCTTTCTGTAGTATCATATATATGTTTTTATTAAGGTTTAATGTTTCTAGATTTTGGTGGAGTGTATGTGGTATGTCACTCTATCCTCCACAGTTACCTTATTCCAAATGAGAGTGTAGTGTACTTGTTGATTTTTTCAATATGTATTCATGTTATGAGTGTTTGGAATGGAGATGTCTATTTTATAAACAATCTTATTGCATTTGTCAATAAAACTGATGTCAGGCCTATTGTGATGAATTGTTTTATCTGTAATTATGTTTTGAGAAAAGATTAAATACCTTGTACAGATACTGGAAGAATATATCAATAACTCACAAAACCTTTGAATATCCAGTAAAATCATCCTATGCCTCAACCACGGGGATAAGAGCAGACCTTCACAATGCCAAAATGATTAGACTCTCGCACCGCACAGAACACATCCGATCACTAAAAACTCTTGAGATATACAAGGCCGGATTATGTACTAACTGTATCAATTCCAAAGATGCTATTAATATATCTCAAGCTTGGAAGTTCTGTTATGAGGGAGACCACAACCCCACACCCCTATTTAATGTACACTTATGCTAGTTTATCTTATTACTTATGTTAGTTTATCTTATTTTATTGTAATTTATTTTCTTTTATTTCATTTTTATGTATATAAAACTTATAATATTTCGTTTGTGATATGAATGCTGCATATGGTAATGTTACGTATGCATCCATGGCAATGCACGTGCACAACGTTCTAATGTTTTTAAATTCGTTGCATAGAACTGTTCTTAGAATCTCAGCATTTGTAAAACCTGATGAAGACTGAATATTAAGGTCAAAAACGTTTGTTATTTCAATTAAATAATTTTACTGGACATTCAAAGCTTTTGTGAGTTATTGATCAGTAATTATGGTTCTGTCATAGTATATTTTGTATGTGTCATTTTCTATTACTGTCTGTGGAGTATATTTATAGCATGGTACCTGGGTGTTGAATAATCTGTGCTTGTGTGCAAGCACTTGGTATAATATATTTACTATTTGATTATGCTTATGTAAATAGTCTGTGCTAAGAGCTTGCAACCAGAGATTATATATGCCGTATTGTTTCTGGCAGAATATGGCATTTTCCGCAAGAGTCATTTGTGAGTGATGTATCCTTCAGAATGTGTTTTCTGCAGTTTTTAGTGTTTATGGCCTAATCTTGAATAGCAACCACAAACTCCCGAGTCTCTCCAAACAGACAGCCCAAAGTCAGCTAGTAGTTTGACACAGTTTTGTCAACATAGTCCTAAGATAGGTTATGGGTATGTCTGCCTTGAAGTAATTTTTGGACCCATGACCACTTAATGGTGTCTATGTTATTTATGTGTTGAGCAATGTCTAACAAGGGGATGTAATTATAGACATATTTAGGTTAAACAATGACTTTGTTGCCAGAGTAAGTATGAACTGTACATGAATGTATAAAAAATGTTTTGCTTTTAAAATAAATATTGTTAGGTAGCATTTGTTAATTGCTTTTGACATTGACTTGAAACAGATGGATTTTATTGTTTTATTATCCTGTTTATTGTTTATTTTAGTTTTCTAAAAATAAGTTAGTTTTTCTCTTTGACAGTATAATAAATTTAAAAATACCAAGAATAAAGTGATAATTATAGTTTTAGGGAAAAAATAACATTGATACCACCAAGATTCAAAACACCAACCTCACAATTACGAAATCAGCACACCCCACCAAGCCACCAGCCACTTTGCAAATGATAGGAATTTCAAAGATTTTAAGTGATTTTCAATTTTCAACCTCAATTTCCTCATTTAATTTTGACTGCTTGACAATGTCAGTTGTTTGGGATGCACTATAATGTGGTAATCCAGGATTAAGAGAAAGTTGTCTCTCACCCATGTTCAGCTTCAGATCTGAAAGACCCACCCACATTGTCACTAGATGGGATTGTAACATTGCCGTTTTGTCAACAGGAAGTTCTTGTGATCTTACTTTAATTTTTCCTGACATCAGCCTAATTAGCACATTAAGCACACAATATAACATTTTTATATTTTTGTCCAAGGGGGAGAAACTGTGGACTCCCGATAAGACTTCGGCATATATTTGAGATCAAGAATAAGATGAATTAAACAAACTAAAAATAAAATTTAATGAAAATAATGAACATAAAATTCAAATATGTGACTGAACACGGACAGCTTCTAAAGTCTCTATCTAAATATGAGAAAGAGAGTTTACATCAACACTCTCTACTATCTCAGTTGACAAATGTTGATCTTTTCGTTGGGCTGTCATACAATTGATCTTTGATTGATACACTTCTTATGGAGAGGTTAATTGGTGATTCTCAGCTGATGGCAATTTGATTGAATTCCTAATGAGATGGAGATGTATGTGGGTTTGGAGACTGATGATGGGCAGCCAGAGTGGGACTATGCTCTCTTTCTATGGTTTCTATCAGGCAGTTTCTTCTATGGCCATCTACCATGAGTTTGTGATTCTTTCCCTTTTATTCTAAATTCCTCTCCAATTGGATTTTAGGCTTGGTAACATCTGACGAGATATTTGTTCTGACAGAAATGGGCAGATGTTCATCGGAGATGTTTCTTTTCCAAAGGAAGTTTTACTTCCCTTCTCACGAACTTGACAGATATGTGTTAAATTCAACATTAATTTAATATTTTAACAAATTCTTAATAAAATTAAAATATTCAGTCTCTGGATTTTCACAATAACCTCACCAAGTTAAATCAAAATCGGTGACCCAAATGTCATGCTATCCCCTTGTAAGTGTTATGAATGTATGTCTCTTTAATCCGAAATTTAGTTTGGTAGACTATCATTACAGCTTTCAGGTTAGACACTTTTTTATTGTTTTCACATATGCATTTTGGGCTTATATAAATGCTAAGCCCCTCTTCAGTGCAATACTACAAATTATTGAAAAAACAACAATTAGTAACATTTTTTAATAATTTTCATAAATGATACCATTTTGTCTCCTTCCTTTTATCTCTAACTGAATTCATTTGTTCCCTTTCTAACTAATAATTTTGATTTTTTAACTCATTAAACCATTAAAACTGTTCCAAATAAAATGAATGGAAACCTCTCACAATAAAAAAACAGCAAATGAAGAGGAAAAATATCACAAATGTGTACAGTCTTATCATTATAACCTTCTTTTGTCTCTAACTGAAATCTCAATTGAATATCATTAACAGAAATGTGGTAGACAACACACACATTAACCCAAGTCAACTTGAGATGGACTATTATATATGCCTATGAATTTTTTATGGAGTATACCAAGAAGAACAAAGGCAGTGATGGGCAATCAGTAAGTCTGTAATTATTGCTCTGACAAACAAAGAATGGATACAAATCATTGTGTTAATAGAGTCATTTCACTGATCTCTACACAGACCATCCAACCAAATAACAGATATTTGTTTTTTCTTTTTTTAATTTTATATTAACTCTTTTTACATTAATGAATAACCTAATCAACACTTCACTTTATTTATTTTATTTAGAACCACCAGTTGATAGATAAAAGTGTATTTTTTGCAATATTTTACCTATTATTATTTTGGGAATGTGGACAGAGTGACAAGACAAAGTTTGCTGTAAGAAATAATGGAAAAGTTCTTCATTTTTAAAATTTTGTTTTACAAAAAGTTCCAAATACAATATATAGTTGTTAATCTGATTCACATTGTATAATATACTAGCAGATCCCTCCATGCATTGTTGTGGCTCAAAATGTATCTATTATAAATGTATAACATCCCCCGTAGAGGGGGGAGAATTTTTCAAAAAATCCCTTCTTGTTGTACATTCTCTTGACGTACCCTATTAAAACGCAATCAAAAACGCAAAAAACTGCATCTAAAATAGTATAAATAGAAGCCAAGTTCTTTACGGTACGCCTTAATCCTGTCCATCTCCCCCCCAGTGGGGGAAATTTCGACACATATATTATATAAAAACACGTGTGTATTCGAATGCAGCGTTGTGTCAAAATTTCAAAGGAATCAGTAGGAACAAACAAACATTACATTTTTATTTATATAGATAGATGATGATCTGCTTTAGTTCATCCTCACAGAAAAGCAAACTTGAGGCGTCATACTCGTAGTGCCATCTGTTGGAGATAAAAGCCTTAACCCTAGATGATATCTTTTAATTTATATGAATGTTTAACGGAATAATATACAGCCTATGTCCACCCTGAAGTTCCATTGTAAATATTGGTGAAAGAATTTTTGAAATCGGATGAGTAGTTTCGGAGATTAGCCCTTGCATACAAACTTACAAACATTACCTCTTTATAATATTAGTATAGATGATTCTTGAGATTTTTCCATTCATGTTGACACTTGACTAATATGTTTGACTAGTGAGAAACACAAAATTTTACAAATCTTAGTTGTGCTTATGATTAAATAAAAGTATACTTGCTTACTGGAGACTAAATTCAATAAAATAACCGATGATGGACGCTTAATGCAATTGAAAATGTTCTTATGTTATTAAAGAATTATGCTGGACTTTTGAATGATTTTTTATTTT